CTGCCACTTGGAGAGGGTGATGACTAGACCACTACACTAAGTTGCCACACCTCTTTGAATATAACTTTTAAAAGAAATTCGGTCAATTACACTTTTATATTTTTTGCAGTTAAAATTGATATCTTTATTAGATGTATCTTAAAATATATTTAATATGTTTATAATTATTTAAAAAAAAATAACTATATCATTATTTGCTTTTAAAAACAGAAGATCATAAACAGTACTAGGGTTTAAGCGATTTCTTTTGTCAGTAATAACATTACCTGCATCAGAGAAGAGTCATTTAGATGGAACAGATGTGGCAGAAATAAATAAATATTTACGGGCTTGTTTATACAATAAGAGAAAGGTGGCTTTTCTTTCATGCCACCATTGTAAAGGATTATTAAACTGATATTGAGGATGGTTTATAGGGAAAACAAAGAGTGGGGAAAGTTGTAAATACAAAGATATTTCTAAATCTATTAAAGATGTAGTATATTGTAATGATAAATTTTGATTAAAATAATTAATAAACACAGAATGATTAGAAGTAGTTGTAGTTGAAGAAACTAAACATGATTGTGAAGGAGATTCAAATAATTCAATTTGCCTTTTTAAACTATATTTTACATTTTCAATTTGGCTAGCCATTAGAAAAGTCAAGTACTTAAATCTAGAATCTAAAAAACTAGCAATGCAGCCTAATTTATTTGGGATTTCCCAGCGCTTATTTAAAGAAGCCAGAATGCTATCACACATTATGGTTATTTGAGAGCTTGATATTTTAGGTTTGGTTTTTTGTAGAAATTCTCTTAAACAAAATAAAGTTGGGTACCACAATGAATAAGTTGGATATGTATTACCAGAAGTAAGATTTGTTGCATCCACAAAAGGTCAAAGCAATAATAATAGTTTTTCTAGTACAACCCAATTATCCAAGCTTAGCATTAATTTTTTTAATATTTCACCATCACTATGAGTAGTTCAATTAGAATTTTGAAGAAGTTTTCTATAAATGCAGAAAGCATAGTTTGAAAATATTTAAGCCTTTCTAACAAAAAAAAAGTGCTATTCCAACGTGTATTAGTATCAGATGCAATTGGATTTAAAACTTCATTTTCTAAATATTAATTTAAAAAATTATATATTAGTATATATTATTATATTAAATTTAAAACCATAATTTATTATCTATATTTTAAAATTACCTGTGTTATTTACTTTACGAAAAGTTGATTTTAATAAATCATGATGTTTATTATGATCTACAATAAACTTATTTAATTTTTTTATCATATCAATTAAACTTTTTACATTTTTTAATCCATCTCTAATAGCTAATTGCATGGTGTATACAACACAGCGAACATGATTGATATTTAGTTAGCACATAGCTTTTACCATTGAAGCATCATTATCTGTTGTACTTCCGAATAATTTTGATATAATATTCCATTTTTAAAATTTTTTGTGTAAACAATCTTCAATACTATCTCCTAAATGTGGATATTTGAAAGTTTCTATTATAAGCAATGCTTGTTTAATTTCAAAATTTGGGGTCATCTAGTGTATAGTAATTCTATATAAAGCTTATGATCCTGTGTCCATAAATCCATAGTAAAAAAAAAAATATCTATAGTATTTTTTATTAATTCGTCCAAATTTTTTTCTCCAATACTAACAAATTCACCTATTTTTTTATTTAAAGTATTTTTGCATGGAACTGAATAATCTGAATTAAGTTCATAAATAAATTTATGAAATTTTAAATTATCTACTAAATTAAAAGCTTGCATATCATTGACAAGCCAATCTAAAAAACGATTTGTAATTTTTTGAGTTTTTGCTTGATCAGAGTTGATTTTTGTTCTTTTAAAAATAGATCAATTATTTCTCCTTCAATAATTCGATGTTTAGTTCTCAGATGAGTAGCAATATTGGTAGTGCTTGTTTTTCTTTACAATCTTATGGACATTGACTTATAACACTATTATCATCTTTAATTAATATTTAACATTGCTGAGTTTCTTTTTGAACAAATTTCCAAACCCAACTTTTAGGTCGTACAGTTGGAATAACTTTCATACGTGATACCAATGAAGTTTGAACATAACTAGACAAATCTAATTCAGTTGATAGGTTTTCTATTGCAGTTTTTTTAACATTTTTATATTTTTTTTTAATTTTATTAAATATAAGTTATAATAAAATAACAGATTTATATAAATTTAAAATTAATACATTGTTTTTAAATAATTATAGAAATTATCCAATTATTACTCATATAAATTATTATTATTGAAATATTATTTTTATAAACAATAGTCTAATTAACCAATAATAATCAATCACAAAATTAATCAGTTGACCGACTAAGTCTGTTAGGGGGTGGCTAAATCGACTAGGCCAACTAGCTAAAGTCGACTACAATCACTACCAATGGTGCACCAGCTTCACCAGGTGAAATTAATTAGTTTCACCTGCAACTCTATTCCAGAGAGCTAGGTAATTTACCGGAAGAAACAGAAAAGATTCCGGGAAACGAGAAAATTTTTAGGTGTCCCAGAATTTATGAAAACAGCTGTAATCCATTTTT